CAGCGCCCGGCCCACCCGGCCCACGGCCACCCACATGTCCACTCCCTCCCCAGCCTTCTTCGTCCTGCTGGCCTTGGCCATCTACACGGGGGTCACGGCCGGCTTCCTCGGCCGCCGCTTCGGGGACTGGCGCTTCTCCTGGTCCTACATCCTGGGCTGGGTGGCCCTGCTCATGACCTTCTTCGCAGGTAGGGGCCGGGTCAGGGAGTGGCAGAGGGGCTGCGGCGGGCACTCCGCTCTGGGCCAGGGGCGGTCGGCCCAGGCACACCAGGGGGACCCCACTGCGGCGTCGGGGGGCCGGGCGGCAGACCTGGGGCCCACGGGGTCTCGTCTGAGCAGGCGTCTTCTACATGTGTGCCTGCCACGCGCTCCAGTGCCGGCGCCTGTCCGCTCCCCGCTGAGCACCCCGTGACCGTGCCCAGGACGCTGAGCTGAGTGGGGGGAGTCTGCAGGCCCGAACCCCGCGTCCTGGCGCGAGGGGCTCGGCCCTGGGCTCTGCGCGGCCCCTGACCTGTGTGTGTCCCACAGGGGAAGGAGGAGGCAGGGGCTGGGGAGCCCGAGGCCCCACCCTGGGGGAGCTAGGGAAATGGGGTGCCCGTTAGAGCCGTGTTTGGGAGCCTAATAAAACTGATGTGAAGCGACTCCACAGTGGATCCGGAGAGGGGGTGCAGAGAAACAGACGGGGGTGCAGGGGTCGGGGTGCTGCTGGGCCAAGGAGGGTTATACAGAGCAAGGCGGGGGTGGGGGTTGGGGGGCAGGCTAACTCCACCCGACTCTGGAAACACGTGGGGGCTGCGCCACCTAACACGGTGCCAGGAGCCGGCCTGACCGGCCTGGAGGCTGGTGCCTCCCTGCAGGCTCCTAGGACAAGGCCCCCCCCAGGCCCGGGCCGTGACCAGGCCCCACCGGCCCTTTGAAGGGCTCCCCAGGCCCCTCTGTGGGTTCAGGGGCCCGCAGTGCTCACGGGGCAGAATCCAGGCTCAGGGAGCATGGGAGGGGGCGCCCATGCCTGCCCGGGGTGCCCCCCCAGCATCTGTGTTTGCAGCCCAGGGAGTTCCCCAAGCCCTGTCCTGTTGGGGTCACACGGTCTCATGGATTCCCCGACTGAACCCAGTCTCCAGCCCTTCGCCCCTCTGGGGGGTGGGTGAACTGACGTTCCAGCTCCGGCTTGGTGGGTCTCCCTGCCCACGCCCGTCCCCAGTGCTCCCCGAAAAGCCACTCGGTGCCCCCCAACCCTTAGGAGCCCCAGGGTCACCAGCTGAGCTGGAGCTGGGCAGCGTGGATGTAGGCGCTCTGGGGTTGAGGAGAAGCGTCGGGGACACTTGCGGGCTGGGCTGGGCGCGAGGACGGCTTTGGGCTCGAGTTTGGGGCGCGCTGGTTCGGAGGGCAGGTGTGGGGTCGATGTCACGGTGGGGACTGTGCTGAGGCATTAGTGGGTTGTGTTGGGGTTGGGTCGGAGCTGAGTTGGGGTCCGCTCTGGCTGGCACTACGTGGGGGTCGAGAGCAGGGTTGAGTCAGGACAGGGTGGGTCGGGACTCTCCCCCGCCCCCGCCCGCCATGTGCCCGTCTGGCTCCCTCGGCTGTTCTGGGCCAATGCCCAGCCGTCCCGGCCTGGGGCGCCGCTGGGGCCTGGTGGGCGAGTGGCCGGGGGGTGGTGGGCGAGTGGCCGGGGTGGGGGGGGGGGCGTCAGCGGCCCGGGGAGGCCGTGACGTAGCGAGGAACGGGGCCTCCGGGACAGGGGGAGCAGCGCCTCGGTCTCCCGGCCCCTGTCCTGGGCCTGCGACTCAGTCGGCGATGGGGTTCACAGGGCTCCTTGTGGGCTTCCTCGAAGGCAATGTGCTGGGTCACCCCTGGGCCGTGCACCCGTACTGCACACCTGCTCTCAGGTGAGCGCTGCCCAGCGCCTGGTGCTGGGACGGGGAGACTGGCCTGGAGGGCCACCCACTGCCCCGCTCACCCCACCCTGGGGGTAGAGCCCACCCCGGAGGCCCCCCAGAACCGTCATCTGCAAAGACTTCTCTGCGCAGGGTGTGGGCGTGCTGACCTCAGACACCAGGATGTGGTTCTCCACCTGCCCTGGACTCGGCTCCCAGAGGGGCGGGAGAGACCGAGCTCCCCTTCCCTTCCTCCCTCCGTCCCAGCCCCGGCACCTCGCCCCCCCCGCCCCTTCTTTCTCTGAAGACCCTTGAGTACCCAAGCACCCCTGAACGGATGCTAACAGAACCCACAGGAAAGCATGACACATCCCCCTGGCCCCCTGGCCACACGCCCCTTCTGTTTGTCTCACAGCCAGCCACCTCCACCGCGGCCCCATGTTTCTCTCACCTCTTCCAGGAAGTCCCCAGTGATTCTAATGCAACCTAGAACTATAGCTTGGGGCAAAGACACCCTCTCCTCAACCACCATATGACACCCCAACACTCTGAGGGGAGCCCACCTCTCTGGTAGGGGAGTATATATGCCAGCTGCTGGGAAACAAAACCGCCGAGGACCGACGCAGCGCCCACACCCCCAGCGGCGTCTCTTCCGGAGCTGGCGGACCAGGCCACACAGCAGCTGCTCCCCGGGCGGGAGTCGGCTGCCCAGCCGCGGCCGGCCATGGAGCCCTGTCGGAGCCTGGGCCTGCTGGCCGGCTGCCTGGGCCTCATCTGCCTCGTGGTGGCTCTGAGCACGGATTGCTGGTTCGTGGCCGTCGGACCTAGGGGTTCAGCTCACTCGGGCCTCTGGCCAGTGAACCCTAAGGAGCCAGTGAGAGGTTAGAAGGGCCCGTGGGGGGCAGTGGGGGCCGCCAGGCCGCTCGGTGCTCAGAGGTCTGGTCTGGGGCAGGCTACATCAAGGTGACGCAGAGCTTCATGATTCTGGCCGCCGTGCTGGGGCTGGTGTCCGTCAGCTTCCTGGTCCTGTCCTGCGTCCCCTCCCTGTGCGCCCCGGGCTGCAGCCCCCTGGTCTCCTGCATCACGGGCTTCTCTGCAGGTGAGGAGCTGGGTGACGGGGGGGAGGAGGTGGGGGCAGGCGGCCCCCAGGGCTGAGGCCTCCGCTGTCCCACCAGCCCTCTGCAACATAGTGGCCATGGCCGTCTACACGGGCGAGCGCTGGAGCGAGGTGCCCAGCCCAGAGATCCAGGCCTTCTTCGGCTGGTCCTTCATCCTGGGCTGGCTGTCGGTGGTGTTCCTGCTCTGTACAGGTGAGCGCTGCCCAGGGGCTCGGGAGCCCAGGTGGGGGGTCTGAGGGGCACACGGCCAGTGACCTGTCTGTGACCCCAGGGGGCTTGAGCCTGGTCGCCCAATGCAGAGGTCCCTTGCCTGGCTACGAGCGCATGTGAGCGGAAGGCAGAGCCAACTGCTGGAGCTCCTGAGACAGCCCTGTTCCTCCTCAGCACCCCACCCGCCCCCCATCCATCTGCCACACCCTCACTGCTTCCTTCACCCAGTCAAGTAATATGTGCTGCATTGGAGCCCACCCTGGGGGTGCATCAGGTGGCTGCATGCAGGGAGCAGCAGCCCCTTCAGTGTGAGTTCACCCCGCCCCCGCCCCGAGGTGGCCCACAGGTGCGCAGCAGACCCCTCCTGTCTCCCCGCTGCTCCCTCAGCAGTAGATTTCAGTCAGTCTGCCTGCTCTGCTCCCCACTCTGCCTCTGGTGAATCCTCCCACCACTCGTGCACCTCTGGCCTATACCCCAGCTCTGTGTGCACAAATAAATAAATCTTAAAAAAAATTTTGCTGCATTTAGTTGTTCTGATGGTTCAGGTCATGACAGCAGCCAGACACGCCGGTTCCGTGGTGGCGGATTTGGCCCCAGAGTGGGGTCAGGCACAGCCCTCCCTCTTCCTGCCCACAGGGGCCCCGAGTTCTGAGGGGGGACAGAGTTCAGGAGGGCGTAGAAGATAGGCAGAACTCACCTGGGTGTGGAGGGAGAGGTGCTTAGGGGCCAAGGAAAGGAAATCAGAGAGGCACCAACAGGGAGCTGAGGAAAGACCAGATATTTTAGGGGATGCCGACCAGAGCTCTGTGACTGGAATGTGGGGTGTGGGGTGGCGGGAAGTGAGGATGGGCGAGAGGGCAGTGAGAGACAGGCTCTAACTAGACAAGTGATTGTCTCCCAAGGGAGCTGGGCAGCCAGGGGAATGTTATCTGGGGAGGGAGGATCCCCTTGGGGCACCAGAAAGCCCCCTCTGGGACGTGCTGGGGCGGCTGGAAGGTGGGGAGGAGCCATGTGGTTCAGTGGGTGACACCGTGAGGCCCCTGCCTGGGGTCAGGTGCTAGGTGGGTGCCTACAAGCAGGAAATTCAGGGGCTGGGGGAAACCAGACTCAAAGCCCAAGGGCTTTCCAGGGTGGCAGGCCAGAAGGGGGCAAATGTGGGTGCCCAGGGGGCCCCAGGCCAAGTGCGGGACAGTGAGCCATCCCTGCTGTGGGGGACAAGACTCAGCTGAGCGGTAGCCCTGGGGTGAGCAGGGGGTGGGTGTGGGGTGTGGGTGGAAAGCACTGAACAAGGTAAGGGGGGGCTGGGGGAACCTGGATGTTGAGGTGGAGGGAGGAGGGCAGAGCTGCAGGGGCCCGGGGGGCAGTTTCTAGAAGGTCGAGGTTTATACCGTCAGGGCCCAGACCTGCCATGGCTGCTGAGTTGTCATGGAGCCAGGACAACTGTGTGTCACATGCACGCTGTTATCTCTTTAAATGGCCTCTGGGGAGGGGGTTCTGGAACCCCTGCGGCCTCACAGAGACCTGTCTCCCTCCCCCTCCTCCCTGGGAGCTGTGTCTAAGAAGACCTGGGAGCAGGTGGGAGTCACTTAGGTGAGTATATGCATGGGGGAGGGGGTATGGACTGGCCAAAGGGACACCCCACCCGGGATGGAGGTCTCTGGGTGACAAGAATCTCCTAAGTGGTGATGCCTGGGGACGAGGCCTCCATCCCAGTGGGGGCTTGGGGAGGGGGAGGAGGCTTTGGGATAGGGAGGAACCCTGAAGGAGGAGGCTCTCCAGATTCCCAGAAGTGGGGACCCAGGGTGACCGTCTGGGACGCTGAGGGACCAGTGGAAGGAGAGGGCAGGGGCCCTCTTGCAGGAGAGGGGCGTGGAAAGAAGGTGCCAAGCTGGGTCAGGCTCTGGGCCGATCCTGCCCTGTGGCCCTCCCGCAGGCCCCCTGGCATGGGGGTGAAGCGGAGCCTCCAGAGCGGGGGCACCATCCTGGGCTTCTTGGCCAACACAGTCACCATCCTCTCCACTGCCTCCAACTACTGGACCCAGCACCACGGGGGCCACAGTGGCCTGTGGCAGGACTGTAACAACGGCGTCTGCTCCAACATACCCTGCCAGAGTGAGGCCCACGGCCCAGTCCCCCTGCACTGACCCCAGCTGACCGTCCCTCCCCCAACAGCTGGCACCTCCTCTTCCAATTCCAGTCCCAGATCCAGGTGCTCCTCGGTGGCCGAGGCCACCACGCACCCCCACTTGGGTGACATTACAGCCCCCAGGTCCCTACCTAACCCCCTGACTTCGGGTCGGAGCTCTGAGCCCAGAGGCGGGAGGAGGTGCTGGCGGGCACAGCTGAGGGGCCGCTGTCCCCAGCCATGCTGACGGTCACTGGGGCGTGCATGGTGCTCTCGGCGGGCTGCGGCCTCGTGGGCTTGGTGATGGCGCTGCGGATTCTGTGCCACCAGGGCAACTCGCGGGGCCAGGCTACGAGCATCATCTTCTTCTTCTGCGGTGAGACGCATGGGGTGGGCCTGGGGGACAGAGAGTGGGGGGCAGGGATCACGAATTGACGCTCTGGGTGGAGAATAGAGGGGGCCCGCAGGTGACCTAGAGCTGCTCCAGCAAAGGTGTGGGTGTGGGCGTGGCCCGACCCCGTGGGCGTGGCCTGTGGTGGTGGGCGTGGTCTGGGCGGGGCCTGGGTGCAGCCTCAGGGCTTTGCTCACTAGGCGGTGGGCCCAGGCCTGCTGCTGCTGATCGCCTTGACAGGTTACACCGCCAAGAATGCGTGGAAAAACAACATCTTCTTCTCCTGGTCCTATTTTTCGGGGTGGCTGGCATTACCCTTCTCTGTTCTCGCGGGTAACCTGGGCAGTGGGAAGAGGGTGAAGGAGACCACCCAGGGAGGCCCCCTCCTTCCCCGCAGCCCTCCTCCCCATACATGACCTCCCAGGGGCCCTCCAACACAAGACCCCTGCAGAACGGGCAGAGACGCCCAGCCCCAGCCCCAGGCCCGCCCGGCCATCTGCGCCAGGGCCCACTGCCCACCAGCCGCCCTCCGTCCCCTCCCGCCAGGATTCTGCTTTCTGTTGGCGGACATGATCGTGCAGAGCACCGACGCCATCAGTGGGTTCCCCGTGTGCCTGTGACGGCAGCCTGCCTGGGGCAGAATAAAGAAACAACTTTCACGGCCTGTGCCTTTCTGGGGGCCTTGTGATGGCGGCAAGGACGACACGAATGGACTTGAGAACATCAACATGGACAGCGGGGTCGGGGAGCGGTCACAGGGTGGGGGTGGACTACATGGTGGGGGAGCAGGGCAAGGAGGAAAGGACTTAGAGTGGCACAGGGACATGGGTCTGGAGGGGACAGGGCACTGGAGGAGCGGGGTCAGGAGCGGACTTTGGGCGCATGAACAGAAGGTGGGGGGAGGACGCGGATATGGGGGAGCGTAGGGGCAAGAGCGGGGAAACGCACACGGGCAGAGAGACTTGGAGGGGCGAGGACGAGATGGCCGTCTGGGGACAGAGGGGTACGAAGCTTCGCGAGAAGTTTGGGGCCGCCCGAGGAGAGCTCTGCTCCCCGGGCGCCTCCCTCCCTCGCACGACCTTTCCCCCAGTTCCCGGCCACGCCCCCTTCCTAACACTGCCTTTCCTTTCCGTCCGGGTCCCGCCTCCCTCCCCCAGATCCGCTCCCCATTGGCCCGCCCCCACCGGACACACCTCCCTGCCCTCCGGCCTGCCGATTGGTGCTCCGTCGGGGAGGGGAGAAGGGCGCTGCCGCGTGCGATTGGCTGCCGGGGCGGGACGCAGGCGCAGAGACGGGCGGGGGCGGGGCCTCGGCCGCGGGAGCCCGGGGGAGCCCGCTGACCCTGCTGGTGGCTACAGCAGGAAGATGGCGGAGCTGCGCGCGCTAGTGGCTGTCAAGAGAGTGATCGACTTCGCTGTGAAGGTGACCGGGCCCCCCTCCCACCTCCCTGAGCCCCGGGACCGTGCGCTTCCGGGATCGTGAGTGCTCACCATGTGGGGGTGTTCTCGTAACCCCTGATCTCTGCCTCGCTTCCCCCAAAGTCAAAGTCACAGCTGAGGGCAAAGATCAGGAACTGACCTGAGAGGTTCTAACAGCTGGTCTCTCCTCACTCAAAGCCGCCTCCCGCGTGACCCGGCTCCCGTTGCCTCCCAGCTTTGGTCTCACTCTCTGATCACTGTGCTGAGCGAGTCGCCCGTTTCTTAACGTCTGGAGAAGCCAAGGTCCTGTTTAACAATTGGAGAAACTGAGGCACAGAGCGGTCACTCAGCTGGGAAGGGACAGCTGCCCAGCCCCACCCGGGCTTTGCTCACGAGCCAAACATTAACAATTAGGCTGCACTGCAAACGCCAGGGACTATTACCCGCCCAGGAGGTGTGCCCCAGGGAGGTCAGGTTGGGCCCTGGGGACCCAGACACCCTCTTTCAGCCTCCGTGGCCACAGGGAGAGTGAGGAAGCTCTAGCTAGGAAGGGAAGAAGTGTGCTTGCTGGGGATGAAAGCCATCATCTGACCCAGCCGTGGAATAGATGACACTCTCCCCTAGAAGGAAACGTCTCTGCAGATCTGGCCGGTCCCCAGGGGGACGCTGGTCTGGACAGAGGTGAATCAGACAGTCCTGCAGGCCAATACTTGAACTAAGTACTTAAACTCAGCCAAGGGCTGGTGACTCTCTAGCATGCCTGTCCCCTCCCCTCATCAGATAGGAACCCACGTCCATGTGCCCAGCACAGTCCTGGCACCAGAGGCCTCGGCTTGATGAAACTGACCGGAGGGCCCAGGAGCCAGACCCAGCATGGAGGCTTAAGTGCTGGTGCCGGCTCAGATCCTCAGCGGAGATGAGCTTGTTCTGTCCTTTCAGAACCTTCCAGAGGCGGTCAGTCCCCTTAGACAGGCAGGGGAGCGGAGGCCCATGGGGTCTGAGTTCCCTGCCAGATTGTGCAGCTTGGCAGAGGCCGCCCCAGTCTCTGGGCTCCTGCTGTCTCGCTCAACAGCCGCGTGGCTTGGTGACCAGGGTCACCTCCTGCCTCCTGCGTCCTGGCACCCCGTCTCCTGGAGCGCACCAGCTCTGGCTGTTCCCTCGGGTTCCTATAGCCCCCAGGCCTTCTGCCCAAACCCTCGCTTCTGGCCTGATGTTCCGGTTCCTGTGGGTCTCCCCCACGGGGTCCCCCTCTGGACCCAGCCTCGCCCAGCACAGGGCCAGCACCAGGGAATGAGACTGTATCCACTTGCCCTTCTCTCCTCTCATAGTGCCCTCGGCACCGTCCATTACATCCGGCTCAGTAATGTTGCTCTCCCTTTCTGAATAAATAAATGATCTCCACCCTGCCCGTCCCTAATTACAGGGGCAGACCTCACCCCTGCCTCCTCTCTCAACCCCCATCACTCTGGCCCGGCCCTCCTGCCCTCTCGCTCTCGGCCCTGTTCTCTCGTCTCCATCCTCACGGCCCTACGGGCCTAGCCGCTGCCTTGCCGTGTGACTCCGGGTGAGGCACTGAGCCTCTGCCTCAGTTGCCTCATTGGAAAATGAGGATGGGAAGGCAGGCACCAGCCTCCTGGGCGTGGGACAGGTGGATGAATTAATGCATCGAACCCTCACAGCAACGCAGGTGTCTGTTGAAGGAGAGTTACTGCCAGGCCCCCCAAGACAGAGCCCGGAAGGTTCTCACTGAATCATCTACCTTGATTTACAAAACATAATTATTAAAACAAAACCAGCCGGTCACTGACTGCTAGGCCAAGTGTCGTGTGATGTGATTTTCCATGCTGATGTCCGCTGGAGCTTAAACCACCCTCCATGGAGCGGTGCAGTGGCGGGCTCCTTGGAGGGGCGCGTGGGCCTCCTTCCCCTCGGAGCAGGAAGAGGAGGCCCTGATGGGGGCTGTCTTCCTGCTTGAAGGGGAAGCTTCCATCGTGGGTGTGACTGATTTTGTTCGAGAGAGAGGGCTTGTGTGACTTGAGTCCACAGTGCCAAGCGTGTGAAGGGCCGGCCAGGTTCTAATGCAGATTCTCGGGAGCAAGTTCCCGTCACTCATCTGACAGGTACGGCCTGTGCACCCTACACTGCCAGGTGCCCCCCAGGCTCTGGGGGGACAGCCCAGAACAAAACAGACCAGATGCCCCGTCGTCGGGAGTTGGCATCCTGGTGGGGGGCCAGGAGCACCAGTGCCACGGAGGCCTCACTTGCCCAGCAGCCTGCGCCCTGGACAAGGCCCTGGGCCCCGGGTCCCCTGACCTCACTCCTCCCCTCCCGGCAGATACGGGTGAAGCCGGACCGGTCGGGTGTGGTCACCGATGGCGTGAAGCACTCCATGAACCCCTTCTGTGAGATCGCTGTGGAGGAGGCTGTGCGGCTGAAGGAGAAGAAGCTGGCGAAGGAGGTCATCGCCGTCAGCTGCGGGCCTGCCCAGTGCCAGGTGCCCGGGTCGGGGGGCCGGGCCCGGGCTGAGGGGTCTGAGGGGCGAGCACGCAGCTGTGGGCCTGCCCAGTGCCAGGTGTCTGGGTCGGGAGGCCGGGCCCGGGTGAGCGCGTCTTCCCCTCTGCACGCAGGAGACCATCCGCACCGCCCTGGCCATGGGCGCAGACCGGGGCATCCACGTGGAGGTGTCGGCCGCAGAGGCAGAGCGCCTGGGCCCCCTGCAGGTGGCACGGGTCCTGGCCAAGCTGGCAGAGAAGGAGAAGGTGAACCTGGTGCTGCTGGGCAAGCAGGTAGGTGTGCGCTGTGCCCCTACCCCAGCCCTGCTCTGCAGTGGGGGTGCAGGTTTCCCAGGCACGCCAGGAGGGCAGGACCCCCAGAGCGCTGCTATCGCCACGCCAAAGTGTTTGAGCCCAGGATGGGTGACGCTGGATACCCAGAAGCGGCGGAGGAGCAGGGCTTGAGCCAGAGGGAGTGTGGGGAGCAGGGCGGCAGCTTCCAGATCAGCCTCGGGGAGAGGAGGCCGCTGGGTCCAAGTAGGTCACTGGGTGTCCTGCCCAGCACCGCTCGAGGAAGGTGACAGAAAGCAGAACACCGGCGAGCATCAAGGGCGTCAGCATCAAGTCGGGAAACCAAGGCAGAGAGCCCAGCCAGGGAGCAGGCCGGGCGCGGGTCTGGGTGGGACTCCGGGGGCCCAGGTCTCGCACCAGCTTCCAGGACACAGGTGCTGGCGGCGTGACCTACCCAAGTCCTGGCACCGAGTGCCGGGCTCACACCGTGGGACCCGCCTCCTGGTCATCAGGGACAGCCCCTGCGGCCAGGGTCTCCAACGGGGGAGGTGCTGGATGAGCTGGCCAGGATGCTCTTTGTGGGGTGACATGTCCCCAGTGAATCTGGCATAAGCCCAAAGCAAATGTATAGCTCACACAAGGCAGATGAGCAGGGCTTCACGGGCACGTGTGGCCCTGGGCTCTGCCCTGCTCCGCTTCCACTTTCTGCCTCCAGGCTCATCCCACCAGCCTGGTGACCTCACACAACATGAAAAGCCTCTTTCCCAAGGCTCCAGCGAAGCTCCCACACCGACTCCTTGTTGGCCCAGCTTGAGCCCTGCGCCCACCCTTGACGTTCTCACTGGCCCAATCCTGCACACCCAGTCCCCCACCTGCCTGGCTCAGCGCGGCCCTCTGACTTCCTCTGCAGGGCGCAAGGATCTGGCGCTCGGGTGTTGGGGCGCAGGTGCCCCTGGATGGGTCACGGCCGACCCCCTGGCCCCGTGAGGGGATGGGATGTTCTAGCCTGTGGCCCGTGGCCACCACTAATTTTGTCAATGAAGTTTTGTTGGCATGCCGTGCCCCTCCTTGCTCACAGGGACACCTGCGGCCTGTGCCTGCCGGAGCAAAAAGTCTGCGCTTGAGAAAACACGGTGTAGCTGTGCTTCGGGGCAAAGCACACCGCGCATGCGCCCGGACGCGCCCGGAAGCCCCACTGTCGCCTTCTCTCTCCCCACTCAGGCCATCGACGACGACTGCAACCAGACGGGGCAGATGACGGCCGGGTTTCTGGACTGGCCACAGGTGAGACTGGGGGCGGCGCTCGGGGCTCGGCCACCAGGCGCGGGCAGCGGGGTTGGCTACCCAGCTCACCTCTGCCCCAGGCCTCCGCTCTGGCCGCCGCCCGGCCTGACACGGGGACCTGAGGCTAACCTAGTATGTAGCCCAGCACATCGAAAATACGACCGCTCCAGCATCTCGTCAGTCTGAACGTATTGCATTCATTTCCTTTTCAAGCGAAGCCTTTTGAAATTGAATATTTTAAAATATTTTGAAGTGAACAAACCTCAAGATTTCAGTGTCGTCGTAATAAGCACATGGCGAAGCTGAGCGCTGGCTCACAAGGCCCTCCCGTTCATCCCCTCCCCGTTCAAAATGCTCATATCTCTTATTAGCCAGCCTGCTCTTAGATCTGCAGCGCAACACATTGGGGCCTCAGCACCGTCCTGGGTGGTTTTAGCTTGATTTTCCTTTTCTCATAAAAAACTTTGGAGAATCTTCACCTCCCCCACATCTCATAAAAAACTTTGGAGAATCTTCACCTCCCCCACATCCCCCACATGTCCCTCCCTAGGGCACATTCGCCTCCCAGCTGACACTGGAAGGGGACAAGTTGAAAGTGGAGCGGGAGATCGACGGGGGCCTGGAGACCCTGCGCCTGAAGCTGCCAGCCGTGGTGACAGCCGACCTGCGGCTCAACGAGCCCCGCTACGCCACGCTGCCCAACATCATGGTGAGCGCCGGGGCTGGCCGCGGGGCGTGAGGTGGGCCAGGCCTCCCGGGGGTCAGAGGGAGAAGGGGCCAGTGGATACCTCGTCAAGAGGAAGGAGTGTCCCCGGCCCTTCTGGCCAGCAGGGGTCCGCCGGGTCTTTTCTGCCACTGGTGGGTGTCCGTGGGGCCTGCTGGGGCTAACAGGGAGGACGTGCTGGGCTCTTCAGCTGATCGAAAACCCTCACTGGACAGTCCAAGCCACGGGGCAGTTCTTTGGATCATCTCAGCCACAAAAGGAGGACTTATTTCCTTATCCTCGCTCATTAGGGAGGGTTCCCCTGGTAATCTTTGCTGGCAGAAAGGTCGTTTAGGCCGTCTTGGGAATGAAGCAGGGTGCGGGGCTCTCTTGGCTAACTGGGAGTTGAGAACGGACTCGCCCGATCACCCAGGCCAATGGGGAGGAGGCCGTGGGCCCTCATCCAATAGGATGGGTTCCTTGAGCCATCTCAACCAATAGGATGGGTTCAGTGAAGTTGATAGGTCATGTCAGCCAATAGGAAGCGTTCAGTGGGTCCCTTATCCAATAGGATGGGTCCACTAGATGATCTCAGCCAAGAGATGCATTCAGCGGGTCAGCTCAGCCAAAAGCCCATCCAGGAGGATGACTTGCCAGGCCGTTCCAGCCAGCGAGGGGCTTCCCAAGGTCACTACCTGGAGGCAGAATCCTGCCGTGGGGATTCCCACGGCACTACAGCCGCCAGCAGCGGTCCACACCACCTGCGGCCCTGCAAGAGACTATGTCCCGGCCAGTGGGCAGGTCCAGAAGGGTCCAGCCAGTGGGGTTTGTGCATGTGGAAGCCAGGCAAGGGGGCTGTGGAAGGGAGGGCAGGGTCTCTGGCAGTGCCATGAACCATGGCTTCCCGTGCAGAAAGCCAAGAAGAAGAAGATTGAGGTGGTCAAGGTTGGGGACTTGGGCGTGGACCTGACCTCCAAGCTCTCCGTGGTCAGCGTGGAGGACCCGCCCCAACGCACGGCTGGAGTCAAGGTGGAGACCACAGAGGACCTGGTGGCCAAGCTGAAGGAGATTGGGCGGATTTGAGCCCCTTCCCTGAAACTCAGCAATAAAACTATGACTCTCCTGAGATCTGTCTCTATTAACTCATTCCCTGGAGACCCTTTGATTCATTGAACAAACATTTGCTTAAGCCTCCTGTGTGCCAGGCCCTGTGCCAGGCCACTCCAGGGACCCAGGTGAGTCACATCCAGGCCCAGGCCCTGAGGAGTTTATGTGTTGAAGGGCAGATGTGGGCCACGGCATCAGTGAGTCGGGGGTAGTATGCTATAAACCCGCCTGGGGCGGGGGCACAATTTCTCACACTGGGGCTGCTTGAGCTCCCTAATAACATGGCGGATTCTGTGATACGGAGGGAGAATGTGCCAGTCTCTCAAGGCCTGGCTGCCGAAGCTGGCACGGGTGTCCTCCATCATTTCCCCTTGGAATGCTGCCACAAGTCTACCAGAAGCAGGGGTGGGGACGCAGACCCTGCTCCTCAGTGGGCAGAGGGCTGGATTTGCAGCCATCTCGAAGCCACAGTCCAGATCCCATGGGGTACTGAGGGGTTGACCAACATCACATCCCCAGAACCACACTCAACCGCAGAAATGCTTGTATTATTATCATCATTGGTATGGTGAGGACTGTGCCTGGGTAAATTGGGGGGCGGGGGTGTGCTAGGAGCCTGGCAGGGGCCTGGAGGCCAGCATGGGGCGGTACAGGAGAAGCTTGCTGAAGGAATGAGCAGCCTGCAGACTGAAGCCAGCCCCTCCCACTGACTGTGCAACCTCTGGCCACCGCCTTGACCTCTCTGAGCCACCTCAATCCGTGGCCTGTGAAATGAGAGCACCACCCAGCTCCGAGGGTGTCTCTCAGGGCTCAGCCTGGCAATGCCCAGGAAGCATTTTGCATGGTTCCTGATGCATGATAAGTGGCAATTATTATTTTGGTTCTTAAGAAGGTGAGGCCTGAAGTGGAGCCAGGTTGGAGTGGGCGGGGAGAGCCAGTGCATTCCAGGCAGGGGAAACAAGGCTGGGAGGGGAGAGGGTGCATCAGAATGTCATGTCGGGGAGTTCAAGAGTGAGTGCTAGGGGTGGGGATGGGAGGGCACAGAGTGGGGGTCTGACTCATGCAGGGCCTGGAAAAGCACTCAGGAGCTTGGCTGTCTCCCAGGGCTCTGGGGAGCCAGGGCAGGCCCAGGGGCAGCCCAGGGCAGAGGAATTCAGAGGCACCGTGGGGATCAGAGATGGTGGGAGCTGGAGAGAGGCCAGTGGTTAGAGTGAGGAGGGACAGTGCTGAGGGACTTCAGGGCAGGCAAAGAGGGACTGGATTCCATGATTGACAGCAGTGGGGGGAGGAAGGAGGAAGGCTCCGGCTTCTGCAGCTCTGCTCAGGAACTGCAGGGTCTAAGGGAAGGGTCGGGTTAGAGGGAGCACACCGTGGCTAGTGGGGTGCAGAGATATGGCTCTGGGTGTCAGGGGCCAGTCATGACTTGGGCCGAGGGCAACAGAGAACCATGGGCGATTCGGAGCAGAGCAGCAGGGCCAGACTAGGTGAGCTGCGGCTGCAGGCTGGGTAGGCCGGACCCCTGACCTGGAGGCTGCAGAGGAGAAAGCCTGAGCCAAGGCCAAGGGCACCAGAGGTGCGGCTCTCTGAAAGGTCACAGCACCCTTCTCCAGGAAGCCTTCCTGGATTTGCCCCTGCAGGTTGCCACCTCATTCCCAGCCAGGACTCGCTTCTCATCATCTTCCCCCCGGGCATGGGGTGTGCAGGGATCAGGCTGGGCCTCCCCACAGATGGGGCCAGCTGATGAAGACAGGTGGGGTGAGGCCAGCTGCTCAGCCACTAGATGGAGGTGGGGGATCCTGGCACCTCCCACTGGGTCTAGTTCCCTTCCCCTCCCTAGAAGCTACCAGTCCTGTCCGACCCGTCAGACCCGGGAGAGGAGGCGCAGGCCCTGGGTCTTGAGCCAGTGTCCGCGGGTGCGGCCAGCACCATGGACACCTCACGGGTCCTGCGGCTCTTCCTGCTCCTAGGTGAGTCCCTGCTCTGCCCCTTCCCCACCTGTCCCCTGTTCTGAAGCCCCTGTGCTCCCCCCCTACCCTCCACTGCAGCCTCAAGTGTTGAGGTCACAGCCCTCAGAGCCACTTCTGGGGTTCAGCAAACCAGTGTCTCCAGGAACTCAGCTTGACCCAAGGTCCGGGTTTGCTGGCTCCTTCCCCTGAACCCCCAGCTGGGAGTTTCTGGATCAGCCTCCAGACTCAAAAGCCTCTGCTGACACCCCTTGTTCCAAACGGTTTCCTGCAGCCCTGACTTCGCACAACACACATGGATCTCTCCGGTCGAATGTTTCTGCTGAAGGCCAAATTCCCAGCCTCGACCCCACCTTCTCGGAAACACCTGGTTCCGAAATAATTACCATGGATTCTCGAGTCCCTGCCAAAGACCTGGAAGACCCCTTCTCTGTGAAGACCCCGGCTTCAGGCATTTCTGCTCAAGTCCCAGACCTCACAGCCTCCTTCGAGAACCTAAGCTCCCAGTACTCCTCCCAGGACCTGGAGTTTGAATTCCCTACCCAGGGCCCTGGAGTCAAAGTTCCTGCGGAAGCCCACCCAGAGGCAAGCTTCCCCCAGCAGGTTGGGGGGCCTCTGGCTGTGCTTGTGGGGGCCCCGATCCAGCTCCCCCTGGCTCCAGTCCCCAGCCCTGGCCCCCCTGCCCCACTGGTGGTCTGGCGCCGGGGCTCCAAGGTGCTGGCAGCTGGAGGCTTGGGGCCTGGGGCTCCTCTGATCAGCTTGGACCCGGCTCACCAAGACCGCCTACGGTTTGACCAAGCCCATGGGGGTCTACAACTCACTTCTGCTCAGCTACACGATGCAGGGGTCTACACAGCTGAGGTCATCCGGGCTGGGGTCTCCCGGGAGGTGCGGGAGTTCACGGTGCGTGTATATGGTAAGTGGGCCCTCGGGTCCAAGGTGCAGGGGGTGCCCTTCCAGAACCTGGGGCGGGTCACTGCTGTTCTGAGGATGCTCCCTCCCCAGAGGAAGGGGATGCTGGGCAGTGGGGAAGACAGCTAGGATGGAAGGAACAAGAAGAAGGGGTGAGGGCCAAGACTCGGCTGGGCAGCAGGAGAGAATAGCAGGTGCCGGCTGGGACCAGAGGTCCTGGTGCCTGGGAACTGGGAGGGGACTGGGGCTGGGACACTTGGACGGAGGGGCAGAGGCCTCGTCCTGAGCAGGCTCCCCCTCTCCCAGAGCCCCTGCCCAAGCTGTCTGTGCAGCCTCAGGCCCCGGAGACGGAGGAGGGGGCGACAGAGCTCCGACTACGCTGCCTGGGCTGGGCGCCAGGTCGCGGGGAGCTAAGCTGGAGCCGGAATGGACGCGCCTTGGAGGCTGCGGACCCGGAGGGGGGCGAGCAGCCCCGGATCCGCACCGAGGGCGACCAGCTGCTCATCGCGCGCCCAGTCCGCGGTGACCACGCCCGGTACACGTGCCGTGTCCGGAGCCCCTTCGGCCACACTGAAGCCGCGGCCGACGTCAGCGTCTTCTGTAAGTGGGGGGACGCCCCGCTCCGCGGTGGGCCTGGAGGCCCGGGTTTCTCCAGCCCC